ACACCGTGCAGAGAATGAGAAGACAGCTTGTAGACTGAGGTAAATGTGTGCAGGCCCCAGGCACCTGTGCAGCCTGTATCTGCAAATTCGCCTGCTCACTAAAATTTACTTGTCACCCCAGAACCCATCCTTGATGCGGTCAGAGTCATCTGTGGGCTGTGGCAAAGCAGTGGAAATATCTGAAAGGTCATACACTCCCTGCTGAGGTCTACGCCACACACTCCCAGCTGGGGTCCACGCCATGCCCTGCCTTCCAGTTTCAGCTCAGATTGAAAAAAAGCCTCATTTAATGGTCTGTTTTTTATTTTTTATTTTTGAGTTGGGGTCTCACTCTGTCACCCAGACTGGAGTGCAGTGGCATGATTACAGCTCGCTGCATCCTTGCCCTCCTGAGCTCAGGCAATCCTCACACCTCACCCCCCACTCCAGCAGCTGGGACTACAGGCACACACCACCACACCTGGCTAATTATTTTTTATTTTTTGTAGAGACTAGGTCTTGCTATGTTGTACAAGCTGATCTCAAACTCCTGGACTCAAGCAATCATCCTGCCTCAGCCTCCCAAAGTGCCAAGATTACAGGCATGAGCCACTGTGTCTGGCCTCAGTCTGCTTTGTGCTGCATTTTCCACATTTTTGTTGGTGATTTCACCATATGGAATGGCCTCCAAGTAAAGTGCTGAGGTGCTGTGTGCCATCCCTAAGTGATATCTAAAGACAAGAAGCCCTCACTATGGCCTTCTCGGCATGGCGTGTGCACAGCAGACCACAGCAGACCCCCTCATGCTCTCCTGTCCATGACCAGGAGCGAAGATGGCTGGTGGCTGTGTGGGAGCAATCCTGTTCTCTCACTGTTCAGCTGCATGACAGCTACCCCCGCTAACCTTCAGCTCCCTTTTTATTGTAGTAAAGTAACTGGGGTCATAGACAACTGCTGTCTCTTGTGAGGCCCAACATGCTGCAGTCTGGTGAATGCTGTGTGATAGGGCCCTCGGAAGTACACAACATCACTTGCAACGACACTGCGCTCTCTCGAGCTCATCCTGGCCATGGGCACTGAGGAACTCTGCCTCCATCCAGACTCCACCCAAAATACATGGAGAGGGCACACCTGTGTGAGAAGCATAATTCACAGGCTCCTTTCACCTTGGGCGTCACAGCACATGGAAGGTGGCAGCCAGTGCCCACCATGGTCACTCTCCTAGGAAGGCTGCATGAATATGCCCATTTCATAAGATTCCATTACAGTGGGGATTGAAGATACAGAAATATTCACTTACCTCTTGATTAGGGCCAGTTTTCCCCAAGCACCCTTCTATAACGTGTCATGAGGCCCACACATCTGTGCTTGTGATTCCAGGACCCCCCAGATTGTCCACCACTCAGATGGACATCAAACCTCTGGATGTCTGATGCCCAAAGGAACATCCAACTGTCCACCACTGAAGACATTCAACCTCTACCCATCTTCCAGATGGACATTCAACCTCTGTCCATTCCAAGAAAAACATTCAGTTTCTATCCACCCTGAGATGGACATCAAACTGCCCACCCCCAGATGGATATCCAAACTTTGTCCACCTCCAGATGATCATCCAACCTCTGTCCCACCCCCAGACATCAAACTTCTGTCCACCCCAGATGGACATCCAAACTCTGTCCACTCCAAGATGGACATCCAGCCTCTGTCCACCCTAGACATCAAATCTCTCCATCCTCAGATGGACATCCAACCTCTGCCCACCTTCACAAGGACATCCAACCTCTGCCCATCCCCATATAAACATCAAACCTCTGTTCGCTCCCTAAGTGGACATCCCACTCTGCCTACTCCCAGATGGACATCTAACCTCTGTCTAACCCCCAATCCCCCCATATACCCCATTTCCCACCACATACCTGTCCCCACCACACATGCCCTGTTCTGGTTTCCAGCTTAATTTCTCACCATAGAGCTCGTGGCAGTCAAATATGCTGTGTGTGTGTGTGTGTGTGTGTGTGTGTGTGTGTGTGTGTGTGTGTGTGTGTGTTTATTTATTTATTTATTTATTTATTTATTTATTTATTTGGAGTCTCACTCCCGTCACCCAGGTTGGAGTGCAGGGGCACACTCAAGGCCACCCCAGTGTCAACCTGCTGGGTTTCGGCGATCCTTCCACCTCAGCCTTCCAAGCAGCCAGAACTACAGGCATGCGCTACTGCACCCAGATAATTTTTGATTTATTGTAAAGATGAGGTTTTGCCAAGTTTCCCAGGCTGGTCTCAAACCCACAGGCTCAGGCAATCCACTCACCTTGCCCTCCCAAAGTGCTGGGATTACAAGCTGAGCCACCAAGCTGGCCTTCTTTATTTCTACCGGCTGTAACCACTCAATGGATTGTCAAATGAATGAATGGATGAATGAATGAGTGAATGGTCATCTCCTGATCTTTCAGGTCCCTGCTATTCCTTTCCCTGATGAACTTCTCATGTTAAGAGAGCTCTGACAAAACATTTATTAAGAAGTCATTCATCTTCCCCACACATATCAACATAACAAAACTGAGCTAACATCATTTCTGGGGAGATTAAAGACAGGTGTTAGAGGTAGTCAGGGCACAGGACCCAGGTAGCAAGAAGTCTCAGACTGGGCTTCTGCCCCAGAGCTGGCATGGAGCACTGCCCTGGGTCTCCTCAGCCCACACCATGCAGACCCTTCTCGTGTGTTTGCCAAGTCAAGGCATTCACCCAGGATGCTCAAAATCCAAACACAGACTCCTTGAATGAAAATTAAGACCGACGGTACCAGGTGTTGGCACAGACATGGGACAACAGGACACTAATGCTGCTGGAGGGAATGTAAAGGGAACAGGTGCTTCCCAGCAAGACTGGGCTTTAACTGTCCATGGCCCAGAGATTCTTCCAGCAAGAAATAAAAGGTTTGTCCAGATGTGGAGATAAACAGAGACCCTGAGTAAGAACAAGCAGAGGACACTCACTCGCAATTGTAGAGCAAGGGTGTCAGCCGGGAAAGTCTCACACTGGGACAGGGAGGTTCCAGGCAGCCCTTATGGAGGCTGTGGCCAGGAGCTCACCAGAGTGGGCATCCCATAGAACTGGCTGGGGGAGCATCTAGTTGCTTATGCTGCTATAATAGAATACCCAAGATAGTCAAGTATAATGAACACAAATTGATTGGCTCACAGTATTGGAGGCTGAAAAGTTCAAGACTGAGCTGTTGGCAGTTGAGCAACTCTGATTCCAAGATGGCACCTTGAACACTAAACCCTCTGGATGGGAGGAAGGCTGCATCCTCACATGGGGACAGTGGAAGGGCAAGAGAGGTGAAAGGGGCCTGGGCTCACCCTTGCATGATGGTAGAGGCTCCCTGCCTAGTAACCTCTTAAAGGCCCCACCTCTTAACAGTTAGAATGGCAATTCAATTTCCACATGACAATTTTCACATGAAACTGGGCTGGCTGGCTCACACATGTCATCCCAGGTACTCAGGAGGGTGAAGTGAGAGGATCACTTGAGTCCAAGAGTTCAAGATCAATCTGGGTAACATGGCAAGAATTAATCTCTACAAAAAAATGGAAAAATTAGCTGGGCATGGTGGCACATGCCTGTAGTTCCAGTTACTTGAAAGGCCAAGGCGGGAGGATCATCTGAGTCTAGGAGTTCCACTCCCAGGTTCACCCCCATCTCCTGGAAGGGAGCAGGGCTGACAATAGAGTGGCTCCCTAAAAATCCATAAAGGACTTGCTTCAGGGAGCTATCATGTCAATGGACACACCAGGTGCCCAAATGGTGGCCACAACTGAGGAAGGGCAGGACCCCCGACCCCCACCACTGCCCTATGTACTTCTTCATCCAGACGCTTTGAGTTGCATCCTTTACAGTACATTGAATTGAAAGCAAAGCACTTCCCAGAGCTTCATGAGCTGTCCCAGCAGACAAGCCATCCCTCTGTGTGTGTCCTCATCTCCTCTTCTTGTGAGGACACAGTTGTGGGGTTGGTGAGCTTGTTCACTCGAGCCCTTCATTACAGATAGACCACATCTCTAGACGCAGACACCTCCGAGGGGCTGGGGTTTGGGATCCAACCTGTGGACTGGATAGGGGACATAACTCAACCCATAATGATGTGTTTTTAAATAGATTTGTGCTCAAGGGATAAACTCTCTAGGAAACCAAATCAATGAAACTTACTGACACTTTCAGACTCAAGCAAGGTCCATTTTCAGACACATTCCTTGTGTTCCTAGTGGGAAGCTGTGTTCTCCAGTTGGAGAGATATTCCAACCACTAACATGTCAATTTCAGCCCCACCCCTGCACAGCCCCGTCCCTACATGGGCTCCCTTCCTGCACATTGCCGGGAAACCCAACAGGCTTCATCTGGTGGGTTCAGTGTTCTCCAGGGAGTTCTCCAGGGAGAGCCATTCAGTCCTGAGTACCTGGTCCGCCAGATCCCAAAAGCCACACCCTGGCCTCTCCCACCCAAGAAGAAAGAGCTCCCAAGAGCTGCTGCGTCACGCTTTAATGGACGCACCAAACATGGAGCTCACATTGCAGGGTAATGGAAGCTGGTGGTCAAGGGGCTGCAGCCACTGACCAAAACTGACACTGAAAACAGCTATGGCTGACACACAACACACGTCAATCAAGAAGAAAATCCCCCAGCACCACGAGGGCCAGGTCCCAGTAGACACGGGGAGTGGGCAGTCTCCGGCACCCTCAGCACTCCCAGCCAGAGCTCCTGAGGTGGCGCCCCCGGCTCAGGTGAAAACAGGTGTGCGACACGTGCGCTGCCACTTGCAGATGCCCACCCCCCAGGACCCAGAACCCACTAGGCTGCCACAGTCCCCCCAAATGCGCTCCACCCAGGTCAGTCAAGGGCAGAGAAGGTGCAGGCCCCAAAGCAGCCAGAGAGGCACAGACCTGCCCTATCCCCGTGAAAGGCGCTGTAGAGCCGCGTCTAGGTCTGGAACCCCAGGAGGGCTCCTGCTTGGCTCCCTCTAGCCACAGAGCTCCCAGGAGAGGGCCACCATAGAGTGGGCCCTCTGCAGGTACATGCCTGCGGGAGTCCAAGGCAGGGCTACTTGGAGGCTGCGGGCCACCAATCAGGCACAGATGCGGTCAAGGCCACCTGGCCGCCCTCTGAGGTGCCAATGTGGAGGGGACCCTTAATTTTCTCCGACTGCAGCAGGGCCAGCCCTACATCCCCCTGGCCGGCCCTGAACTTGCCGGCCACCTGTCCCTGTGCAGTCAGCACGACAGCACCCGGGGCGATGCCGGCGGGCGGGAGTGGCCCTGAGAGGAGCACGGGGAAGAGGCGCTTGCGGACGATGCCCAGGTGGTGGGTGCGGGCCGTCAGCTCCTGACCGATGTAGCAGCCTTTGGTGAAGCTCACACCATTCATGAAGGCAAGGTTGGACTCCAGGGGCAACGCCACCCCCGGAGGCAGGTCGCAGACACCCTCAGGAACACCTGCGGAGACAGGGAAGAGACAGCAAGAAATGAGCCCTGCCTGCCTGGTTCTCCCCTCCCATCCAGCCCCTCACACCTCATCTTCCACCTGCATGCCCTCCCCACCCATACCTTGCAGGTACCGGTACCGGTGATAATCGCGGAGGTCCCCGAGCCGTCCCCGGGTCACCAAGACTGGGCCCTCATCCTGAGTGAGGAGTCGCCAACCCATGCGCACTGTCCGGGGATCACAGGTGAGGATGGCGGTCTCCGTCAGCTCCTGCAGTGGCAAGGTCCCACCAGGCTCGGAGGTGCAGGGCAGCACGGACCACACGCGCAGGTCCGGGTGGGGCTCCACCGAGACCTTCCGCCGGATCCTGTACAGCGCCAGGTGCTTCAGCAGCTCGCCCTGTACCGAGCCGTCGCACTCCAGCAGGAAACCGGGCGTCTCCTCCTCGCGCTCCTGGAACCTGCAGGGAGAGGCAGGCGGTGAGCGTGGCTGGGCGCACACTCCACTTACAGAGCCCGGGACTCTAGTGCGGAGACTCAAGCCTAGGGCCACCGAGGGCGGCACCAACAGAGCGCACATCGTGGCAGGAGGTGCACCCCAGGGACCACACACAGAAGTGGTCTCGGCCACATGGGCAGCGCCTCCTCAGCGTGCGTCCCTGCGGGCAGACAGGGGAGCAGGCCCGCGGGCCCTGGCAGAGCTGCCATGGCCTGCCCAAGAGTATCACCACATAGTTCTTCTGCTCAGGACAGAATCGACTAACAGGCCCACTGGCTGCAGGAGCCGCACGCGATGGGCACGGCCCGCCAGGAGAGCAGGCTCTGGGCGGAGCGACCACAGGAGAAGCCACACGCACGGTGGAAACCTGGACTGCCTGTTCTGGTCCCGGAAGCCACGAAGGGTCACAGGCTCTTCAGGTGGGATCCAGGGGCAGAGGGGGGGCACTGGATGCCAGCAGGGGGTGGCCACACCCCACCACGCCCACCTCCCAGGGCGCCAGGGATCCAGGTAGGCCCCAGATCCAAATGACCTGCACTGGGGGCAGCCCACACCGAGAGGCCGGGGCTGGCACCACTCGAGTGACCCAGTCTAGATGGTCGTGGGGCCACTTACAAACAGGCGAGCCCAGGGGCAGCCAGGGCAAAGCTGCGTGGGCACGGGTGTGAATGGGTGGGGTGAGAAGCCGGCCTACATGCTGCTTGGCCAGCTGCAGGCTGTGGACGTGGGCTTCTTGAGAACACAGCCCAGTGGGCGCTGAGGCCGGTGGTGGGATGATCCCCAGCAGGGCCACAGGAAAGAACCCCTCCCAGGCAGGGAGGGCTGAGTTCCTCCCCCAGGAAACCCCACTTCCCCGTGGCCACTCCACATGGCCCCAGCCTCTGTAACCTGGCTCTGCCCAGTCGCATGTCCACAAGAACATCAAGGCTTCTCATGCAGAGCCTGAGGCTGCGGGTCTTAGAATGTGTGGGGAGGGACAGAGCCACCAACGCATGGAGCTGCTCAGCCTCCAGTACACGGTCATAGGACATCAGAAGGACACCGTGAGGGACAGGACAAGTGCAAACAGGGCTAAAATGCCAGTGGGAACAGGGGGAGAGCTCAGAGCAGTTGTGGGAAACACTGATGCTCGGGAGAAAAGCAGGCCACCCTGTCAACAGGGAAGTTGGATCACCAGGACAAAGAAAGGTGAAGGTGAGACACAGAGGGAGGGAGCCAGGACAGCCCTGGGAAGACAGGGTGTGGGCTCTGAGGACCAAACAGCCACTGCCCCACTCCTGGTCTCTCATCCCAGAGACAACACGGGGCTCACACAAGCCTGCAGCCACATCCACAGCCGGCTACCTCTGTAAGGAGGAAGGGAGACAGGAGGCACCTCTACAATGTTTGGTGGTAGGCAGATGTGGGTGAGATCTGAGGGCACTGCAGGAGGGAAGAGACCAAGCCCAAAGGGTTGTGACCCCACAGGCCCATTGATGATGTTCCTGGAATGGCACAACTTAAAGACTGGGGCTATAAAAAGTCAATTCTGGCAGGGCATGATGGTGTAATCACAACACTTTGGGAAGCCAAGATGGGAAGTTTGAGTCCAGGAGTTCAAGACCAGCCTGGGCAACTGGGTAACTTGATCTCTACAAAAAATTTTAAAAATTAGCCAGGTGTGGGGGCATACATATGTAGTCCCAGTTACTTGGGAGGTGAAAGCTGGAAGATTCCTTGAGCCCAGGAGGTCAAGGATGCAGTGAGCTATGATCGCACTCCAGCTAGCGACACAGCTAGAACTTATCTCTAAAAAATAAAAATTAAATAAATAAGGTGGTCCTCCAAAACCGAAACACGGAGTAAGCCAAGGAAAACAACACAGGGTCTGTGACAGGAGAGATGGCAAGAGGTGGGGAAGAGAGTGAAGCCCGGGAGGACCAGATCCAGACCACTCAGCTGTGGTACAGGGTCCAGGTCTCAGAGGCTGGGCAAGGGGACCCAGTGCTATAAACGATCAAGGGCCCTGGGCAGCTTGGCCAGCGAAGTTACTGACAGTCATGATGACATCAGCCAGATGACTGGGCCAAACACAGACAAGACCAGATACGGGAGATCTGAGGAGAGAAACAGGAGAAATCCGGAAGCACTGGCACAAGCTGTCACTAGGAGCATGGCTCCGCACGCCGGCAGGGACCACTGCCCGCTCGCTCCTGCAGTGGGCGAGGGGCGACCTGGCAGGGCTGAGAGGGAGACCACTCGGCAAGTGTCACTTCGAGAGGCCTCTGCCTGAGGTGGTGGGCGCCCAGGCCCTCCCCTAGGTTTGAACGTTGACCCGCCCGGGGGTATCTAGCGTGGCCTTCCCCGGGTGCCCTCCTCTAGGTGCCTTCCATGAGTACCCACGCCCATACCCTCTGCAAGCTCGACTCTGGGCGCAAGGTGCCGGTCCTCCTCTGAGTGCCCACTCCCAGATGCCCGCCTATAAATGAACTCTCCCTGGACTTTCTCGGGATGTCCACCTCTGAGTAGACTCCCCTGGGTGTGTGCCCTAGTAGACTTGCCGGCGACGTCCTCCTTTGGGTGTCCGCCTCATCCCTTCCTGACGCCCGTCCCCCGCCCTCGGCTCCGGCCCCGCCCTTTGGCCCCGCCCGCGCTCACCCATACAAAATGACGTCATAGAGCGTCCGGCCCTGCACGTTCAGGAAATGGGCGTAGCCCGCACGCGTAGGAGGCGGGGCGTCCCCGTCAGAGGGACCAGGAAGCGGCAGTTCATTGGTCAGAAGCCCCAGCAGGAAGGGCACCGCGTCCGGGCCGCGCACGCGCACCAGGGCGCGCTTGTCCAGCCGGAAGCAGGCCCAAGACTCTCCGCCCGCGGGGCTGCCGCCAGGACTACTGGAGCTGTGGGCCAGGCGGCGCTTCGGGGCCAGGCGCAGCCGCCAGCCCCAGGCTGAGCCGCCTCGCCCCGGAACCGCGCCTCGAAGCAGCACCGCGGCCGCCATCTTGGGCAGAACTGCGGCGGAGGGAGGGGCCCGAGGGCGGCGGGAGGGGCGGGCGCCACAGCGGCCCCTGGCGGCGGCCGCCGGAGGAAGGCAGGGAGGGGTGGGTGAGCGTGTGTGCATGAAGGGTTGGGCAGCGCGGGCGGGAAGGGGCGGGCGGAACGTTCGTGAGGGGCGGGACAGCGCAGCCCTGCTGGGGGGGCGGGGCTTCGGCCAGTATGTCCCCACTCGGGCCCCTCCTCCTCTGGATAGATAACTTAGTCCCTGGGCCCTGACTGTAGATCCTGTGTCCTCTCAAAGCATACTTTGATATGTTTTGTTTTGTTTTGAGTTGAAGTCTCATTCTTGTCTACCTGCTGGGCTTGGGTGATCCTTCCACCTCAGCTTTCCAAGTAGCTGGAACTACAGACGCAAGCCTCCACGCCTGACTGGTTTTTGTGATTTACTGTAGAGATGAGGTCTCACCAAATTGCCCAGGCTAGTCTCTAACCCCCGGGCTCCCAAATTGCTGGGATTACAGGCTGAGCCACCGTGCCTGGCCAGTATAGTTTGTTTTCAATGGTGATAAAATACCCACAGCGTGAAACCATCTTAACCGTTTTTCATTGTCTCATTCCATGTTATTAAGGACGCTTGCGTAGTTGTACAGCTATGACCACCATCATCTCCATAACCTTTCCATCTTCCCATCCTGAACCTCTATCCCCATGAACACCCCACCCCCAGCACCCTCCATCTACTCTTTTCCCATGAACACCAACTCCCCACCCCCTAGCCCCTGACACCCTCAGACTACTTTCAGTCCCCCATGAATGTGACTTGCTTAGGGACCTCACATTCATGGAATCATACTGGGTTTGTCCTTTGTGTCTAGCCTATTTCAGTCAGCATAATATCCTCAAAGTTCATCCGGGGTGTAGCCTACGTCTGAATTTTCTTCTTCTCCTCCTCCTCCCTTTTCTCCTCCCTCTTCTTCTTTCTTCTACCTTTTCTTTTTTTCTTCTTCCCCAGAGACAGGGTTTCACTTTCACTCAGTTGGAGTGCAGTGGCGTGATCGTGGCTCACTGCAGCCTCCAACCTCAGCTCAGTGATCCTCCCACCTCAACCTCTGGAATAACTGGGACTACAGGCAAGCCTACAATGCCTACCTAATTTTTTTGAAGGTTGAATAATATTCCACTGTATGGATAGGCCGCAGTTTGCTTACCCACTTATGTGTCCATGGATACCTAAGTTGCTTCTGTGATGGCTGTTGTGAATATACTGCTATGAGCAGACGTCCCTTGGAGCCTTTGGGTTCCTTTGGATGTGCACCCAGAGGCAGGACTGCTGGTTAAATGATGGTTCCATGTTTAGTCTCTTGAGGAACTGCCTACTAGTCTCTTGAGTCTCAGTCCATGTGGGCTACAATAGCAAAACCCCGCAGACTTAATGCCTTCAGCAGCAGAGACTTGTGTCTCAATTCCTGGAGGCCAAAGTGTGGGCAGGGCTGGCTCCTGCTGTGGCCCCTCCCCTGGGTGTGTACACGACTGGCTTCTCCCTCCTGCTGCAGCCACTACCCAAGTGTGTACATGATCTGCCCATTGTCCACATTACTGCCTCCACCATACCTGCCCATTGGATCTGTTTCATTTCCTTTTATTTTTTGCTGGAGCATGGGAACGTCACAGCAGGACACTCTGTGCCCAAACATCTCTGGAGGATAAGGACAGGCACCATCCTGCCCCAGCCCTACCAGTCCACAGTTAGTATGACATGCCAGACATAGTTAGCCTCTCAATGTGTTAACCCAGAATGAGGAACAGCGGGGGGCTCACTCCATTGGGGTTTGTGGAACCAAAGCACTCAGGAAAAACAAGTTCTAGGAGCGTGTATAGTCTGTGCTCTCCAAAGGGGGTTTGGGGACTTGGTATTGAAGGGGAGAGCAGTCAGGAGAAAGGAAGGCAGGCAAAGAGGGAAGTGGGGACATTTCTCTGAGGCTCTGATTGGCGTGCAGTAAATCTACATTTTAGATGAGAAGGTGAACATTTGAAAGGCAGGAGGAGAGAAAAGTGTTGCTCATGCCTCTGTCTCTGGGTAGGAGAAGGTGTTTCTTGCCTTGCCCTAGTGTTGTGTCGGGGAAGACAAGCTTGTGGTGGACATTGTCAGGCTAAGAGCAAATCTCAGCTCAGGAGTTAAAACAGGTGAAGACCTGAGGTGGCCACAGGTTCATACTTGCCCTCCGGGGGGGGAAGGTGTACCGTGGGGTGAGGGGCCAGCAAGGAGTGTCCTTGTGAGCAGTTTGCAGGAGGGCAGCTGTCCAGGGAGGCAAGGCCCACTGCCTGTGCAGGATCCTGGTTTACAGATGCCGCTGTGAAGCAGCCTGTGGAGTCATAACTGTTTGGGGAAAGAACAGCTGTGTTGGGTGACTCGGCTCCCAGGTGTACAAATGTGGAGTCTTGAGGCTTTATTTTCTCTTACAGATGTTACCAGCCATGTCCTGAATAATGGTATCTTTTTCTAGCCAGGATGATCCCTGACATGAGTGGTCACCATCATGTGTCTTCAGTCCCTTTCATGGGGATGTCACACCCACCCTCCCACAAAACACCCCTCCAAGGACTTGCCACATGGTGTCCTCAGGGCTGAACTCAGAGGGGACAGTTTCTGGAAACCACACCCATGTGGCGAGTCCAGCCCACTGCACTTGCTCAGGGAGTGGTGTGTCTGTGCCCACCCAGGCAGCTGGACCTTTGGTGGGTGGCCCCAAGAATAGGCGACCCATCTGCAGCCTGGCTCCAAGAGCCTTCCCTGGGGCTACAGCACCTGAATGCCCTGGTTCAGGTTGTCCCCACCTCACAGCCTCCTGGGACCCACATACCCTGCCAACATGCTGTCTTCTCCACAGCCATCACATCCAAGCACTGAATACTCTACTTACTCAAAATGTTTTATTGATGGCCCCATGCTCCAGGCAAGCAGCGGGCTTTGTGAACTGTTAAAGAAAAATTACTCCATGACACTTGTTCAAACATAATGAGGAAGACTGGTCAGGACCCTCAGGTAGGTACATGGCCCATGGCAGTAGGGCCTTTTGGTGGGGGAGAGAGACTGGGCTCAACCCTGAACACAGCAGAGGCTAGTGGGGTTTGAGAGCCAAGGGGTAGATGGGTCTGCAACAGAAAGTAACAAGAAGACGTCAGGTTTGGGTTTAACCACCAGACAGGATTCTTGCTGCAGGTGGGCCAGAGTGGCCTTGTCTGGTGTGTGGGGGATGAGAAACCCTCAGATACCACAAGGGACTCACATACCTAGCTCTGGCTGGACTGACTTGTGGGGCTCATCCCAATGCTGGATTTCACAGGAAGTAGTCAGATGTGTGAGAAACAAATTCACCCATCCAAAAATCAAAAGATGGACATAGAGACGTGGAGTGCAGCAGAAGTCAGACTTTAATGACAGTCTTGCAAGATCAGGTGTCCGGTGGGCAGGCACACCCGAGAGGGTTACAAAACAGACATATTTATGTACTAGTGCACAAGTCCCTCCCTTGTTCCCCCTTGGCTGGGTACCACAGAGGCTACAGTCTCTCCTAGATGTCACCTAGGTAATTCTTGTTCAAATAAGGCAAAGTACATGGTTCTAGGTTTCTGATTGGTTTGCAGTATTTACTAAGAGAAGCCCGCCATTTTTCAAATAAAGCCTGCCAAAGGAAGCCCACCCTTTCTTAAACAAAGAAAGTCCTCCAAAGGAAGAAGAACCAGGAAATGGAGTGGAAATCAACATTCTGAAAATGAATCAGCATTTTGTTCTCTACAGATGGGCCTAGGAGAAGGTTCCAGAACCTGAGCAGCATTTGGCCAAGCAGAGAGTCTTTGTCATAGCTCCCTACCATGTATGCCCTAGGGCCTAGAACAGCACCCAGCACACCTTAGGGGCCCAGTTAATACTGGACAAATCAAAAAACTCCCAGCTAGGTACACTCACTCATGCCTGTAATCCCAGCACTTTGAGAGGCAAGGATCACTTGAGCCCAGGAGTTGGAGGCTGCAGTGAGCCATGATGTTGTCACTGCACTCCAGCCTGGGTGACAGAGTGAGACCCTATTCTAAAGAAAACAAACAAAAATACAAGGTCCTGTCCCAAGCAGGCCTCTACAGCAAGGGCCCATCTAAGTGTGTGGCTCCCTGGATAGGATCAGTCCCTAGGCTGGCCCTGGCCTTCAAGGCTCTTCCTCAAAGTCCACTTCCTCTGACTGTAGCTTCCCCATCCCTCAAGCTCCTACTTGCCCTTCCAAACCTTCCTCAAGGCCTCCCCCATCTCCCCCAAACCCTGCTCACCCAACCCTCCCTGGGCCTGGCATGATAAAGGACACAGAGAGGCCCAGCTGAGACCCTTGTCCCCAGCCCTCAGGCTCCCTCCAGTCATCCAGCTTCCTGGTTGAGACAGGCAGGCCCTGGAATGCACTCCCTGGCTGCTGGCCCCAGTCACCACCCCTTCCTCTGCTCGGGCTGGGCATTCCTGAGGGTGACCCGGCCGGCCTCTGTGAGGACACAGTGGAAGCTGGACAGGATGACACCGAGTGGGAGACACACCCACGGGGTGGGTCAAGTTCCTCCAGCCTCACATCAGCCCAACCTGGGGTCAGCAAAGGAATCTGCTTCCACTGAGCGAGGCCAGCAGGAAGGTGAGTAGCTGCCCTGGCCAGGCCGCTGTCCAGCCACCCAAAGCCACTACCCAGGTTTAAATGCAAACAACTATGAAGGAAACACAGTGGAGCTTTCCACTCTAGAGTCACAAGGACCATATTTTAGTGCCCAGAGACACAGGTGGCTGGTGGCTCCAGGCCCCCTCCTCCAAGAAGCCTTACTGTATGCTCTGTGCCTGCCTGGCTCCCTGCAAATCCTCTCATCACTGGCCATAGCCGGCCGCTGTTACCTCCTCAGTGGGCAGGGGACCATGGCCTGGCACCCAGGAGGGAACCCAAGTTCCATCCTGGCCCGGGCTGGGCTGCAACTGGTGCC